CATCCCATCGATCCAGCCTGTCCAGATCCCTCTGTAGGGCCTTCCTACCCTCCAGCAGATCAACACTCCTGCCCAACTTGGTGTCGTCTGCAAATTTACTGAGGGTGCACTTGATCCCCTCATCCAGATCTTTGATAAAGATACTGAACAGAACCAGAATAATACCTTTCCCTAAACAGCTTCCCTTCTCATAATTGTTGGAAACGTGGGCTGATCCAGGACTGCATTTCCTATGTTCTGTGTTCTTATGCAGGCCTGGCTTCTCCAAGTGCACTAACACCAGTAGCGTCCCCTTTCAGTAACCGGCAGAAGTCTACCACTCCAGTTACGAAACCCTTGGAAGGTAAGGAATAAAAATGGCTGAAATATATTCAGGCTTTTTTACTTCCTGTCAATTAACAAGTTTTACTTTCTGGTTTGCTTAGAAATTGAAGCCAGGCCTGATATGCAATTGGAATCGGATATGAAGCTTGACAAGTTGGAGTCATTCTTGGGAAGGCTGAATAACAAAGGTTGGTAGAGTTACCAAAGGTGGCAATGTATCCACTCTCCGACTTCAGTAAATCTCTTAAAGTACTTCTTAGTTAAAATATCTGGTAACAGAAGCTGAATATTTCTCTGTTCAGACTGCACTTACTGATCACAGAGTTTATTTTTGTGATTCAGTCTTTGCTAAATTTTAACAAAAAAGCCTTATGCTATTGTATTACAAATGTGCAATAAAATAAATCACAAATGCCAAAATAACTTCCTTCTTTCTCTATACACGATGTACACATTCTTCTTGAGAGCAAAATTTCTTAAAATGACACAGCCAGTCTGAACCATATTGCCATATACAGTGAAACAGCTTTAAATGTAGTTTAATCTTATTAAAATCAAGATACGACACTAAGTGCTCCCAAGCACAATTCATTCACCTTCCTGCTTTTCTGAAAACTGGCTCTCTGTAGCAGCTCATACAGTTTCCTTGTACAGCTTGTAGGCTACTTATGAACCTGTCTAGAGTTCTCTGGTGTTTCCATCTCATGTGTCTGTCCTCCATTTGTAAGACAAAAATCTTTCCGTTTATGGTATTTGACACTCTAGAAATTACAAATGTATTCACATTTCAGCAGAGGAGGCACTAGCATAGGATAACGATTGTCCCATACTCACTTGTCTGCAGTAGCGACTTTTCCACTTGTCCTTCTAGTAGATCTTTTCAAAGGAAGGAATTATGTGGTTGGAGGCAAGATGGGATATACAAGACCATAAAGTGCTTATATCATTCTACCAAAACAACTCTTTTTTGATAATGCCTAACTTTTTATTCAGCCATATTTCCAAGCCATTTTGTAATAAAGATTATTGCATATGAGTAGCAGTTACACTGTTTTTATCATTCTTTTCCAACAGACTTTTTACCATCTCTCCTTCAAATTCCATCAATGTAAAAAAAAAAAACAAAAACAAAAACAAAAAAACCCCAAACAACAAAAACAAAAACCAAAACACACCACCACCCCAAAAAAACCCCACCCCAGCAACCCATTGACAAGCCATGTTTATTTGTTCTAGAGTTAGAGACTCTAGAATGATTATTTATTGGTTTTTTTCCTGCAGTTGCCGGGATGCAAGAGACAGTGCTGACAGTTACAGGAAAATCTGTGAAAGAGGTGATGAAGCTGGATGATGATGAAACGTTTTCCAAATTTTATCGCCATGTGGATTTCCCTTCCTCCTCAGTGCCTTTGGACCTTGATGAGGACTTTGATGCCATCTTTGATCCTTATGCACCAAAGTAAGAACTATTTTTTTTTTTCCATTGTTATGAATGCAGACATAGGGGCGGTGGTCAAAATGTTCAGCTTTATGTCATCTTGTGGATATCTTAGCAGTGAGCATGTCCATTTCTTCCACACATTTCTGAAATCACTCTTCTGCCTGAATTGAGGAACTGATCCAGATTTCCTGACAAACATCACACCCAAAATCAAAGCAAATCTCTTGTCATTAGATGATTCTGACTAGGAAAATTAACTGATGATCATAAACACTGCTTGTTTTTCAGGTTAATATCTTCTGTAGCAGAGCACAAACGTGCAGTTAGGCCTACACGCAGAGTCCAGTCCTCAAGAAACCCCCTGAAAATGCTGGCAGCAAGAGAAGACATTCTTCATGAATATACTGAACAAAGACTGAATGTTGCCTTCATGGAGTCAAAGCGAATGAAAGTAGAAAAAAGTAAGCTAACAGGATGATTTGTACAAGACACTGTCTTGCTATTTTAATTAAAAACAAAACAAAATCCCCCCACAAAAACCATAACTGAAGGAATGGAATGTGTTTTCTGAGAGGCAATAAATTGATTGAGGTATAAGGTTGAATGTAGGCTCTCTAGGAGGTCTAGAGAGAAGGGTGTGTGTGACTTCCTCAGGGAAAGCTACCTACAGCCACCTCCTGTGCGTAGGTTTAATTATTTATTTTTAGCACAGTCACCTTGTGCAGAGAGAGGGAGTGCCACAACGCCTGCAGAGTGAGGACAGGAGATCAAGGAAAGCAGAGCTAGTGTTATGTTATGCTGGCGGGGAGAGCTGGCAAGAATAAACTTTTGTTCAGGTACACTGGCCTCAATTTTGGGTCCTAGTTTTCTCTCAGAAACTGGAATTAGCCTTCTTGACTCTGAAAGATTAATTTCCATAAAGGATCGGTGCTCTGTGGCAGGACTTTGTTTTACTTGTGATGTTGCTTTCTCCTGACAACCAGAGGGACAGCAAGAGACATGATTGTAAAATTTACTCAAAGGTTTGTCAAGCCACTTTTAGCATTTTGGGTACAAGTTTTTCCTTATTACATTTGAATAAAGGGAGACCATCTTTAAACATTGCCTGTATTGATGAAAACACTAATTATATGTGTAATACTTTGTTGCCATTTGATGAGAAGCATATCCCTGAGTTATAAATTCATGAAGTGCTTTGTCTTTGGTTGAGAAATAAGCAAAAGTAGCCAAGAATTTAGGCTTTAGGTTTACAGTAAAACATGACTAAGACTTTGAAATGTAAACGGCTGTTACATCACACTGGCTGAGACAAATTTGAAGGGAATTTCAGTTAATTAGCCTTGGCTACTCTGCTGGGTTTTATCATTAATCAAATATAAGGCATTGAAGATCTACACAGTACTTCACAAAATATTGGGTAAGACGTGTTTCCTAGCAAAGCTGGTATTTCTGCCAAATAACATAATTCTGACACTGACAGTTTACTCTTGGATGGTATTGAGAAACTTAGGTACTACTAAACCCACAAAGCTCTTGGGCTAGCAATTAATCTGAGTTCAACCTGGGTTTGCTGTTGCTATTGAGAAGGAGAAAAACTGGAGATAATGGGGGGGAAATAATTTTTTTAATGAAACAACCAATTTTTTTTATAATTTTGTCCTTTTTTTTTTGTTTTGTGTGTTTTTTCCTCCAACTTCTTTCTATGTACAAGTGTCTACAAACTCAAATTTCTCAGAAGTAGCACTTGCTGGCTTGGCAAGCAAAGAGAACTTCAGCAACGTTAGCCTGCGGAGTGTTAATCTAACAGAGCAAAACTCTAACAACAGTGCTGTGCCATACAAGAAGCTAATGCTGCTGCAAATTAAAGGTATGCTGGAACCGCTTTTACTTTCCACACATAATAGGCTGATTGTAACATATGGGAGTTGCTACTACAGTTCAATGATTAACTTGTTCTAGATCTCCAGCTCGAGATTTAAGTCCAAAACCGAAAAGAATAGGCAAGAACTGTGAGACAAATGTAAGACTTTACAAATAGGTTTGCATTGTGGCCACTGGTGTGTGTTTTCCAAGGAGAAAACAGAATATTTCACAAATTCTAGCCATCTCCTGTGGAAATTTTTGAACTGTCCCATTCTTCCAGTGCTCTGTATAACTTGGAAGTGACATGACAGTGTTCTTGCTCCACTTCCCCTTACAGTGCATAGTAATGTATCTGATTCTGCAAAATAATAGCTACTTTTTTGGCAAAGTAAAATTCTTAAAACTTTTTACTGCCTACAGAAACTGTGCTATAGCTTCACTTAAGCAAATGTAAAGGATTCTGGAATTCGGCTGCTGTCTGCCATTTACTTAATTCATTTCTTTCCAGAAGGACACAAAGTTGTTAAAGCAAGAACAGGAAGTAATAGAAATATTAGTTGATAGGAGGCAATGGTTTTTTTGCTTCCTGTGAGTAAACCCTTTTTCCACAGTAGTATTCTTTAACAGTGTTTCCATATATTTTGCTAAATGTGCTGGGATTGTTTGTATTTCATTCAAAACAAATTAGATCTTGGCATTTGATAGCAGTAGTCAAAGGAATATAATTAGCTTTGTTTTCTCTTTAGGAAGAAGACATGTTCAAACAAGATTAGTTGAACCAAGGGCCTCGTCACTGAACAGTGGAGACTGTTTCCTGTTGTTAACTCCACATTTCTGTTTCTTATGGGTAGGAGAGTTTGCAAATGTCATAGAAAAAGCAAAGGTTAGTACTGTTGGGGTTTTTTATTATTTATTTTTAGAGCTGTTGCAGCGTCTGTCTCTGATGTAATTGAGTCTTGGTGCCAGTTGTCTCAAAAAGTGGCATGTAACTGATAGTGACAGGTAGATATGCAGGATTCCTGTAAGTATGTTTTAGCCTGTGCACTGAATGAAAGCTGACATAAGAGTGTGTAGGCTGTGAAGCTGCAAGAGAAAAGAGGATATCCTGAGGAAACAGATTTGCACTCAAACAAAAAATAGTCTGAATTGCAGGATGTTCTTTTTATTCCCATGTTCATTAAGATCAAGTCTTGTTTTAAGGCAAATGAAAGAATGAATGTATTTCGGTAACATTTTCTCTAGTGTCTGTTTATTTAGTGCAACAAGTAATACACATTTCTCCTGCTATTTGCTCTGTTATATCCTATCTACTTTTGCCTTCTCCCTGAACAAGATATGCACAAGTATTCCGAAGACTTAAGCAATCCTGTTCAGATAACTGTTAATCTCTTAGGCTTCAGAACTTGCAACTTTAATTCAGACAAAGAGGGAACTTGGCTGTAGAGCTTCTTATATACAGACTATAGAAGAAGGAATAAATACCCATACCCATGCAGCCAAAGACTTCTGGAAACTCCTTGGTGGACAGACAAATTACCAGTGTAAGCATTCTTACAGTTTGGGTATCTGATGTTCTATCACAGTAAAACAGTTGAGTCGGTTCTCTTTAGTAAAGATAGTTGGATGTTAAATTTTTTTATTGTTTTTGACAATCTTTTCGTTAAGCTGCTGGTAGTCCTGATGAAGATGAAATGTATGAAGCTGCAATAATAGAAACAAATTGCATTTACCGCCTTGTAGAGGATAAACTCATTCCTGAGGATGACTACTGGGGAAAGGTGCCAAAATGTACCCTGCTACAACCAAAAGAGGTATTGTGCCACTTACTGCTCCTGTGGTAAGTGCAGGAACATATAGCTAGTAACGACTTTCAGTAACTGCAAATGCTCATGGAGAGGCTCACTGAAAATTGGATCCTCTGTGGTTCTGAAAAGTTTCTGAACACTTTGCTGTCCAGAGTGTGCTTCAGGTCTCAAGAAATTAGATCATGTTATCTTTAAAGTGAAATACTGTTTTAGGAAGTGTAAATCTTTTTGTCGTCAGTGGCTCAGTCCAAAGTCATGAAGTGCAAAACAGGTAGCACTTCAGAAAAACAAAACAAAATAAAAACCTGTTTTCCCTTTCAGGCATTTTTATTTCTATCCTTAGCAGACTTTTCCCTTTCAAACAACTATTTCACCCACCTAAGTAGGAATGAGAGCAGATTTCCAAAATAAAGACATGATGCATTTTCTTGAAAGTATTCAAGTTGCTGCCTGTTTGCTGAGCCAGTTACCCATGCTGTATGTTGTGTCAGCCTTCCCCAGCTGCAGGACAAAGCATAGGTCTAAATGTCAGTGAAAGCTGCTGTAACTGGACAGCCATCAGTCATGCAACAGAGAATCAGGTTTTTAGTAGTAAGAGCTCTCTAATCTGCTAGTCACCTAGCTACCACCGAAAGGTACAACTCATAGCATTCCCCATACTTGTTTCCCGTCATCCTCAACAATTAGACGTCACTGTGCAGACCACTGCCCTGGCCTTAGTTTCATTGCCGTGCTAGTTGTTAGTGTCACTGCAGAAACTCAGATATTTGGAGGAGTTTGTGTTCAATGCGCTGTCAGCTTGCAGCACTAAGAAACTGGAGGATCAGGGTATCACCTAACCTAATGGGAGGTTGTTTTTTTGTTTTGGTTTGGTTTTTAGGTGCTGGTGTTTGATTTTGGCAGTGAAGTATACGTATGGCATGGAAAGGAAGTTACTTTAGCACAAAGAAAAGTGGCATTCCAGCTGGCAAAACACTTGTGGAATGGCACCTTTGACTACTCCAATTGTGACATAAATCCTCTGGACCCAGGGGAATGCAATCCCCTCATACCCAGGTATCAAAACTCGAGTTTAGTCTCATTGCAGAAACTTAGTTTTCTTGCCCTTATTTCACAGTGTTTAATTTGATTCTGTTTCTTTTGTTCCCTTGTACAGAAAGGGACAAGGACGCCCAGACTGGGCTGTGTTTGGCAGACTCACAGAACATAATGAGACCATACTGTTCAAAGAAAAATTCCTTGATTGGACAGAGCTGAAGAAACTCAATGAGAAGAACTCTAGTGAATCCCTTCACCAGAAGGTGCATATAATAAGCAATGCTAGGTATTTCAAACTAGATGACCTATCTGGGATGGAAGCCAGGGAAGCTTGTTCTCAAGGATCCAGAGCACTTTCTTTATCTTGCAGGCTTTGACCTAGCAGTCAGAACATCACCACCTACAGTGAACCCAGAGAGTTGCTTTACATTGGTGCCAAGCAGCTCAATGAATACTGCCAAGGTGGCTTTGACAAGGCATCAAATGATGACAAGATATTAAAGTACTGAAATAGGCAGGAGTCAAACTGTTTGAGTGGAACTGGGGTAAGAAGAAAAAAAGCTATGCTCAAAGAAATCTCTTCTGTGTTTTTTGACAGGAAGAATCCAGATCTGACTCTAAACCATACGATGTCATGCTAATGGTAGCTGTGCCCCAAACGACTGTAGGCACAGTCTTGGATGGAATGAATATTGGCCGGGGCTATGGACTTGTAGAAGGAGAAGATGGGAGGCAGTTTGAAATTATCACTGCATCTGTGGATGTCTGGCACATCCTGGAATTCGATTATAGTAGACTGCCTAAGCAAAGCATAGGGCAGTTCCATGAGGGAGACACATACGTTGTGAAGTGGAAGTACATGGTGAGCACTACAGGTTAGTGAACAATTCCATTTCATCCTGAGTAGTGAGATCCAGACCTAGGCTTACTTGGATGTGAAATTGTTTTAAAGGTTAGAAATGATAATTTAGCCTTCCTAGGCCATTAAGAAGCAGAGCTTATTATTTTATTTTGTTTAAAAGAAAGCATTAAAAAAAAAAGTTGTAGTTATTTTTCATACATCAAATGTAATACTGTGCATCTCTGCTTTTACCCAACAGTGGTTTTGTACGTGTTCACAGGACAGCTCGTTAAGCCAGAATTGTGCCCACAGCTTAACACCAAAATAACTAGGCAGCTGGACTAATGACAATGGTCTGAATGTCTTGCAAGAGAGGTAGGCTTAGCAACAAGGAAAGCCTTTGCTGGGTAATGGAGAACAGTAACAATAACAGGAAAAGCCCTTGCCAACTCATTGCCCTTGCTGTCCTTTTTGCTGTTTCTGGAAACCCTTTGCTATGGGTTTCAGTCTCAAGTGGAAAACTTTTTAGCAGTGTTCTGACAAAGAACCTGAGAGCAGCAGATAAATGTTGAGAATCAGTCAGCTCAGTATGCTCATTGGAACTCTCCTTTCTGGCACTAAACTAAGAATAGGTGGCTTTTGTGGTAAGTAAAATAAAAATAATCTAAAAATGATTGTTCCAAATAGGAAAATAATAAAATTGGTTGAAAGCAGTATAACAGCTATATAGCTTCAGGCTTTTAGCCAAAAAATGTAAGTGGGTCTTATTCAGGATCGTTGAGTTCAGATACTGGTAAATCCAAGAAAAATACAAACGCTTGTAAGTCTTGGGAGAAGTGGGTAACACTAACACTGAACTGTAAACAGGCTCCTAATCAAAATGGATGGAAATATATTCCATCACTCCAAAACAATATTTTTTTATGTAGGAGGCAGTACTTTTATGGGCTGAATGTCCAGATAAGAGTAAAAACCATAAATTTTAGAAGTGGCTAGTGGTTTGAGTATTCTCAACTTGAAAAAAACAAGATGCTTTCTCCTAAGTATTTCAGCTGGATGCTGCTCAGCGCTGCTGAAATCAAGGCAGAAGTTTTAATATTTTTTTAAGAATCTGGTTTAAAGCTCTTGGGTTTTTTTTTAAAATCTTTGATTTAATTATATCTGTTTATTCAGTATTCACTGGAAAGAGTAAAATATTCCATAACTGGTTGTATTGTTGAGCTTCACTTGCTGTAAACATTATTTGCTTATCGTAACAACTAAATACCAATCCTTAAAAGAAAAAAAAAAAAATGCAAAGAGTTGCTGCTAACACACTTTCCAGACCAACATGAAATACCGAGTTAATTTTAAAAAATAAATATATAAAGCTTACCTAATCCTAACTTTTTTATGACTGCAAAATACGGCTTTGGTGTTCTTTTGTTCTGTAGTTTTCCTTTCTAATATCACTTTACCAGGAAAGACTTCTCTTTTATGCCTGTAGCTTTCTCAGCTGTTGGTGTTTCCAGTATCACTCAGCAGCCAGCTACTCTCCTGCTGCCAAAGAACAGTGTATAATGTGGAAAATGAGCCATAATGCACTCTTCTGGTAACATAACTGGACATACCATTTCACATGCAAATTGGCTCAAGTGATGTCAGTTATTTCTCTCCAGATAGTACCAGTTCTTTCTACATCTTTTTCTCTGGCCAACACAGGCATCTCTGCATATGGGCTTACATCCACCTGATGAGACAATGCCAACTTTGCATGGGGACGTACTGGCTTGGAGACCTAATGTTCCTCCAATTGGACATTTTATCTTTCCTGTTCTGGACGGGATAGTGCTGAGCTGGCAGATGAGATTAAACCACGTGCTGTTTAAACCTATAGCCAGAGTACATTTTTCAGCATGTGCTTTCTGTTTTGCAGTTGGAAGCAGGCAAAAAGGAGAGCAACAAGTAAGAGCTGTTGGAAAAGAGAAATGCGTGTATTTCTTTTGGCAAGGAAGGCACTCCACAGTGAGTGAGAAAGGGACATCGGCGCTGATGACAGTGGAACTTGATGAAGAGAGAGGAGCACAGGTGAGCTTCCTGCAGACCTAGGTGGCAGTCCTGGTATGACTTGCCTGCCCAGGTAGCCACTAACAGTATATGTGGGTGATCTTTTTTGCCTCCTCTCTTTCTGTAAAGGTTGTCTTGCCAGTGCAAATAGCAAGCCCTTAAAATTACTTTTGGCTTTATTCCAACTTCCAGAGACACATAAGCTCCCTTATGGATTGTCATTCCCAAATCCCACTTCTAAAGACGATGTTTCTGAGACTGGCTGAAGAAGAATGCCTTCTCCTCTCCCTGCAGGAATAGGTGAAGCACAGTTAAACAAATTTGTGCCTTCCCTTCCATATATGTGTAGATAACAGGACTGTCTTCCAAGTGCTGAGAACAGGAGAAGCACTTTCTGCCAGGCCAAGGCATGAAAATACATTTGAAATTTTCAGTTTGTTTACTCTCTAATTATGGAGTAGATTGCCTTGTTTTGCAGAGATGCTAGCAACTGCAGATACAGCTAGTTTGAAGCTCAGAGGACAGGCTAGCTTGCTTTGTCTTTAGGTGGAGTTAGGCTTTGCTGTGGCTTGACTGTTACCAGCACACAAGAAGGGAGGTTTAAAGTTAGTTTCTGTACCTTGATAATGGTGTAATTAGTTTTTTAACAGCAGCATCGCCGTGACCAGTAAGACAGGAGTTCATAGAGGAGATACACAAATACACTTGACCCAGAGTGTGAGATGCTGTGCAACATAGCTGATTTAACAATTGGCTATATCAGCTTCATAATCAAAATGCAATGTTTAATGAGCAAAGAACGTGCATGTTGTCACGTAAACCAGTTTACAGCAAATTGTGAACTTACTTCAATTCCTACAGTATCTCATAATAGGTTCAAAGAATATCTGGCAAGATGGCCCGGTCCTGTAAAGAATTCAAATAATGGTTAGTTTAACCTAATTTAAATTAAAGTTTATTTGGTATTCCTTATCCTCTGAAACTCTTGATTGTTGGATTCCAACTAGAGGTTTCTTTTAATATGCAGGTCACATATGAAACCCATTGCATGCTGATATATATATATGGTAATTGAAACAATAGTCAGCACTTGTAAAGTACAAGGGAAGCCATCTTCATGGGTGGCCATAACTATATAATTTCTAATAATCCACAGAGACTAGTTTTCCTGAGTCTGTATACTTGCTTCATTTTTTAATGAAGAATGGTGCTTTCAATTTCCAGGTACAAGTGCTTCAAGGGAAAGAACCGCCATGCTTCCTGCAGTGCTTCCAAGGAGGGATGATTGTGCATGCTGGAAGAAGGGAAGAGGAAGAAGAAAATGCACAAAGTAAATTACTGTTAGTTAAGAGCTTCTGCCCCCAAATCCTTTTTTACCTATTGTGAAGGGCTTTGAATGCAGTCTCAACTACCATACTCTGTAGAAAAGAGAAATGAATGCCATGAAACCCATGAGACAGCTTTGCCATGCTTTGTTTCAAGGTAGTTTTTCTTCTTTGGGCTTAGAATGGATTTTGTCACCCTAGAGCAAGCTGACTTTATTGTATTGATATGCATATAAATGGTTCTAGTTGTTTTTTAATTAAGCAAAGTTCGCTTTAAAATACGTTCTTTTCTACGTAGTCGGGGCAAAAGAGTATTTTTATAAGCAGTTCTTCTGCTCCAAGGAGAACTTCAAGCTTTTGTTACCCATTATTACTTTTTGCAACATATTCCTTGAATGCTGCAGTTGAGGTGGGAGAATTTCAGTGCGGGTGTAACTTGGACACGTTCCAGTTCGTATCTGAATGTGACCTCTTGTGCCTAAGGTGCACAGGGGAAGAAGAGCTGAATAGAAGGACTACTGCATTTGGTTCTCCTTTTTTCCTGTATGAAACAGAGCCGAAACTTGACTCTTCTGCTCTGTTAAGCTCTTCAGCTCTTAATGCTTGTACTCTTGTAGCAAGGTTTCATAAGGCATCTTTTCTGCACCAGGGTTTCTCAAGTAGTGTTAGCCAAACCTGATGCTTAGCTAGTTTATTCTGTGATAATATAGGCATGCAATATGTGAAATTCATCCAGTATGAGAACAGCTGTTCCAGAGCAGAGGTCTTGAATTTTCAATCCCATGTGACTGTGTAATACTGCTGCACTGTTCCTGTCTGCTCCAGGTGACTGGAGGCTATATTGCGTGCGAGGAGAAGTTCCCAATGAAGGAAACTTACTTGAAGTAGCATGTCACTGCAGCAGCCTGCGTTCCCGGACATCCATGATTGTCCTCAATATAAATAAAGCTCTTATCTACCTGTGGCATGGCTGCAAAGCACAATCTCACACCAAGGATGTAGGAAGAACAGCAGCCAATAAAATAAAAGAACAGTGAGTGTCTGACCTATATTTTGGAGATGTTTATACAGGCTACCAATTTACTTAAAATAGTCTGCCTCAAAGAAAAGTTGAAATAAATAAAGCTGTCCTGTGAGTACAACTCCAGCATGTGCATGCTTGGTAAGGAGGAGGAATGATGGGTAGTTGATTCGATGGAGTGAGGAAAACACATGTTCTGTAATCACTTTTACTTAAGGTCAAATGCACTTACTCTTCATACTGTACTAATTAAAGATGGAAAAAAACCCAGTCTTTTTTCATTTGGAGGGGGATGCTCAATACCTGAATAGCAAACTAAATTCTAGTTGATAGGAGGATTAAAATCAAGCCTTGTGAATAAGGAAGAGGAAATGAATTTGGGAAAGCATGTGAGGAGGACAGCAGTAGTTATAAAAACAGGCCCTGAGAATCCCTACTGAGAGCTCATGCGAGCATCTCCTCTACTCTGGGGATGTGATCAGAAATGGTATGAGAATGGTTGCTGAAATTCCATATCTTGTTTCTTGATAATTTTTGTCATTTTCAAAAAGCCTGTGTTGACTTGAAGTGTGCAACAAGCCTATAGGGTGCTTTTGGGTTCTAATAATGCAAGTGGCCAGCAGGTTTGTGTTAGCTGTGTTCGGGGCAGGAAAGCTGGGTTCACTCTCTTTCTTTGTGTTTTGTAGATGTCCGCTGGAGGCAGGGCTGCACAGCAGCAGCAAGGTGACGATACATGAATGTGATGAAGGGTCAGAGCCCTTGGGATTCTGGGACGCATTAGGAAGGAGAGATCGAAAGGCCTATGATTGCATGTTGCAAGGTAGACCTGCATTCCTGGATTTGGCACTCACATTTTACTTTACTGGTCTATGGTACTGTGAGATTTAACGTAAAGCTTTTGAAGAACTTCTTGGTAGTTGAGATGATCCCTTCAGAGAGAAGCTTCCAAAAATCTACTGAGTTAAGTAATACTGTTCTAGAAGGAAAGTGCTGGAAAACGAAGTGTTTCATTTTGTTCTCTCCCCCTTCTGCAGCCCCTCTGTACTCATGCAGCACAGAGCAACAGTTAACACTGTTACCAACACATTTTGCTTCTCTGCTGAAGGGATTTAGGAGGCAGTTCTGCATGCATTCTTGTCCAGTTTTCGCTTTGCAACTGCCAACAAAGGTAGCAGGGGGATCGATTTACCAAGTGGAAAATTTGTCAGCTAAAAAGTAAACTCTGAGATGGGCTTGCTTCACTTAAGCTGCAAAACAGCCAGTTATGAAATGGCTGATAGTAACTAGCCAGGATCAGATTCAAACTGATGGCAGCCAGCCTTTTAGCTCAAGTTCTTCACAGCTGTTGCTGGTCCCCCAAGACATCTGGTCATCTGTCTTGATTTTTAAAAAAGCAGAGAATTTACAATCACTCTAAAAGTTGATTTTTTTTTATTTTCACTTTTTACATTTATCTCTGGCATTTTCTATTGGAAATCATCTTAATTTTTGTTCTTTAAAGATCCTGGAAAGTTTAATTTCACCCCCCGCCTGTTCAGCCTCAGTAGTTCATCAGGAGAATTCTCAGCCACCGAGTATGTTTACCCTTCAAGAGACCCTGCTGTCATCAATTCCATGCCATTCTTGCAAGAGGATCTTTACACTGCCCCACAGCCAGGTACATGCTTTAAAATACTTCAGTAACAAGAAAACAGATAACGCTATCCTGCATTGGGCAGTGATTCAGTAACTGTAATCACTTTTAACTTGATTTATCGCAGGAAAATGCGTGCGTGTGATGCTTATACAGCATTAAGCAATAACAGTAATTTTTCCATCATAAAGATGCTGAGAACTAATTAAACATACATGTATCCCAAAAGCTTGGTATAAAAATACATTGTTAATATGAGAGAATCTGAGTTCAGCTGATGAGTAACAAAAAGCTTTGCTAAGCTTTGAAATGGTCCTGTCCTGATGCTGACAAGCATGTAAGACTGGGGTTGTTTAGGGGATTCCGAGAACTAATAAGTGGCTGATGATGGATTTGTTATTTTTTTGGCTGTGTAGCACTGTTCCTTGTTGACAATCACCATGAAGTGTACCTGTGGCAAGGCTGGTGGCCTGTGGAAAACAAAATTGCTGGATCAGCTCGAATCAGGTGGGCTACAGACAGAAAATGCGCCATGGAGACAGTGCTCCGGTACTGCAAAGGTAAGAGATGGCTGTGCCTTGCTGTTCTGAGTGTGTCACACCTTCATGCCTTACTGTCCTGAGCTGAAAAGTACCTAGGTGCTTCCCCAATGGGACTAATAAACATCAGTGTGCTTGAAGATACATTCTCCGCTTGCTCTTAGCAAACCGTTTGTGTAGTAATAGCATTCCCAAATTGCCAAGATACTCTGCTGACTCAATTCTCAGAGGAAAGGCTTTATTTCTCTTCTGTGCTCCCACTGTGGGAGAATAGTTCAGACATTAGATGCCTAAAAGGGAATTCTGAGAACACAGCCACTTAAACCTGAATGCTTTCTGTCTAGCTCCTTTCAGATTTCATAAGCTTCTGTGCATCAAAAGACTGAATGAAGATACTGTTTGCTGATGTAACTGGGGTTTGATTTAGTGGGGGAGCTGGAAAGACTTTGAAGATCGAGAACGAGTCTCACACGGAAAGAGGTGGTCATTGGAAATGCTGGCGCACAGAGTTGAGGCTCTGTGCTCATTTCTGTGAGACAGAGTTATTGCCACTCAGCGTGCAGTGATTCAAGCTGCAATTGATGATCATCTAAGAGTACACTGACTAGATTATTTTCTGCACTAGTAGAGTTTCCTTGAGACACCGTAATGCTTTCCTTTCACTTTATCTAACGTTATGTGAGTCTGGGAACAGACCTCGCATCTTCTGATGGGGGGATGGATAAAGAAAAGTGTGGGGTTACCATCCAGGAAAGAGGGCATAAGTAACAGCCATGTTCTGTTAGGTCAGAGCAGTTTCCCACTGCGAGTAAGTCACTAGGGCTTAATTGGTGCAAACTATGCCCTCTGGCAAGGAAAGCCTGTTCACTTACAGACTTCCAGACCTCATGATGCCACTGATTTCTTCTGTAGCAAATAAACTTTACAACTTGTGACGCAGCTGGTGGTATCTGTCATCTTCTCCCATAGACATTTGTATATTTGAAGAGGGAAATCCCTGTTGGATTCCACCCTTATGAGGATAAGCCAGCCTCTCCTTCCCAATCTGCAGGTTGAATAAGAGTAGGAGCAAGTGTTGTGTTTCTACTCAGTTGCCTCGTGTCACTGAGGGGAGGTGGTAACACCTGGCAGGAGACAGCTAAAAACCGGTACTGGAGACACTGAAGGGTGACCTTTATTGGACTGCATTATTGCTCTACATGGTTTGTCCTCTCGTGTCCCTGGCACTGCCCTGCCAAACAGCAGCATTTGTTTAGGAATGGGGTGCTAGAGACAGGGCAGTAATTGGAACAGTCTTTGGCAGTGACTGCTGAGTTCCTAAAGAGGCCAGTTACTTGTTCTCCACCACCCCCACCCCCAGATTTTGCAAGTCAGAAGGAGTAATAAGATGCGTTTCTTTGAAATAATTTCACACAATGTGCTCCACAGCAGAAGTGAACGTCAGCATAGAGGAACAGAGCCCCATGCAATGAAGTGCCCAGAGTTGCTCAGCAGGCTAGTGAGAGAGATGGAAGTAAGAACCTGGTCTCTGTTCCTGATGCAGTGCTGTAATCTTCTGGTAATGAAAATCATGTTTTCTGGCCCCAGCAGAGATGGAATCAGATACACATGCTGAGGTCCGGATACTTTTCCAGATTTCTTGAACTTTGAGTTCGATGATGGGAAAAGGGATTAATACCTTCTGCACTGGATTGAATATGCCGCATCTGAGTTTGATGCACAGTGGAAAGCTCTTCAGTGACTCCTTATGGGTCTGAAGTTTAGCATATGTATCACAGGACAAGTTTTTTTGCTGGGCACTTACTTCTTTACTGCTGGCCATGACTTTGTAGCAGCTGTGGCTTTATCCTCTTTGCCATGGGGTAGTTCTCAAGAGCTTTGGGCTGTGTGGTTGGATAGGTACAGAGCAAGTTTGTTACTGTTAAACACTGATTCTACTTGTACTATTTCTATGTTAAAGCTGATGTGAACTACTTTAGCAGTTTTTTACTGTTCAAACTATGCTGTTCTGGTGGTCTATCATTTTCATGATCTGGGATTCTGTCAACCACTTCAAAATTTTATTGCATCAACCTGTCAGGGCTGACTAGCTCTTATGTGTTGTTACTTACCAAGGTGGAGAAATTGAATTTCAGGAGATACCAATGCTGCTGCAATTATTTTGACTACCAGAGTATAGTTGAGTGATTGGAAGCATTAAAATGCTTTTCTCTTCTTTTTCTCTCTCCATTTCTTTCCTCATCTATGTCCCTCTCCCCCTGCCTGCCGCCCCCCCTTTTTTTCCTTTTCCTGGCTTACAGTGTTTAACTACATGATGGTATGAAAGAGATTGATTAGCAAGTCTGGATATCTCTTGAATATATCTAGCAGTTTTCCTTGTGCATAAACCTTATTTAACTTGTCAAAATGTCTTGAAAGTTTTTTCTGTGGTTTTATCTGCTAAATCAGCACTCTGGAGAGCTGAGCTGCAGACCACTAGGAGAGGGAAGAATCTGGTTTGCCCTTCAGTGATCCTTAGTGAGGAGATCAGCTTGTGCTGAGGGCAGAGTTCCTGCAATGAAAACGTTTCTCCACTTACAAATACACATACAAATTCATCTTACCTATACTGGAACATTAGCAAATGCCACTCTTCTTTGATTTCTTTGCTGAATTACTGAGAGCGGAGCAGCGCTACTAGAGCAGATTCACACATTTTTTAAATGCAAAGTTTTTAAGCGCTTGTTGAGTTGTTCATGGTAGAATGAACACATAAACCACAGTGAAAATACGTGGAAGAGAAGGCTTAAAATCAAGTATTCAAATGATAAATCTCCTGTCTAAATTGTATAGTTAAAGCACTCGCATTCTAATACGTTTGTTAGACTACTCCACAGAGCTTTATCTCTAGTATTCAGTTTCATGTGAGCAGATTCTCTCCAATCAGTTTGCTGCCAATATCTGATGTAAAGCCAAACCTGTAATGTTCAGGTTTTGCAAACCTAACAGAACAACGATGTCCAGCCAGGCTCTCCGTTTGCATTCAGCACAGGTATTGCATCAGTCTCCTGGGGTGCTCCTCGGCAATGGGGAGGAGGGGGCTGTGTTCTTTTAGACCCTTCTGCCTGACAGCCCACATGCATCAAGTGCAGGTAGGGACTACAGTAAAAAACAGGATCTTCAGCAATGGACTTACACGCTCTGGAGGAAATCTTAGTGCATTAAAGATGCTCTGAGATTGTATGTAGGGAATAACAGAATTTTGCAAGAAGAAGTTTTTAGGGAAGCTACAGCCCTCAGAAGTGAGGTGGTGTCATGTTGCTCTGTTAGTTTCACCTGATTCTGAACTTTGCAACATCTTCAGCTTTTCCATTGCCTATCTGGAAGAAAGATTTGATTAGACTGAGTTGTTTGAATCCAAGTAAGATGAAGGTACAATATTTTTTTGAATGATAGCTCCTCCTAGTCCCTGACTGCCTGTCTACCTCTTTCCGATAATATTTGGAGTTTATCAGTGCTTTTGAATCAATGGGGAATGAAATCGTTCAACCAATAGGGCCTTTTTTCAACAGTACTTGGCATAATGACTTTAGCCACTTAATCTGATACGGCATCACTCCTAGGCAGGGTTATGTCATGTCCTATATAGTGTGCACACATACATGTTTTAAAGAAGCAGGACCGTCGTCATCATCAGTAATTACCATCTAGCTCTTGCAATACCTCTGTTAACTTTTAGATCCCGTTCCTTTGAACTTGTAATAAAACGATTGTGTTAGACCTCAGTGTCCCAAGTTAAGAACAGTTTAAACATTCTCACTTAAGCCTCCAAGCTTAAGCTTTATTTGCTGCTGGCAGGACATTTCTGCTGAGCATACCAGGTTTCATTTACCTGAATTTGGCTAATTTCAGACCGTCGCACTCGGCTTACTCTATTCTAACTCTGTTTTTGTAAGATAAGAAATACATTGGGTTAGGAACTAACTGGGGGGGATTTTCAGCATACCTAGTTTGATCTTTGTGGTCAGATACAGTAAAAGGCAGATTTAAGAACACTGAAAAACATGTTAAAAGGTGCCATACTACATAAAAAAAAAAAAATCCTGGTGAAATTTATTCCTTTGGATAGTGGGTAACATTGCAAAATATGGTACCATTTGTAATTTCTCTCTTCTTTTTCTATTTTGACTGTTTCTAGGAAAAAATGTAAAGAAGCCCCCAAAATCCTATCTAATTCATGCTGGCCTAGAGCCTCTGACCTTCACTAATATGTTCCCAAGTTGGGAACACAGGGAAGACATTGCAGAGATCACAGAAATGGTAAATCTTTCCATTGCACGGATTGTTTCCTATTGCTAGTAATTGTGTCTTCTGTTGTCAGTAATATTGCTTGCTTGTGCTGTCAAGCCCCAAAGTCCAGAGGATGAACTTACAAAGTGCAGTTCAGGAGTCTGCACAGGAAAAAAATAACATAGCTAAATTCTGACTGGGAGTGTGGGTATCAGAGGCATTCCTAGTTGTTTTTCCATGTAACTTCTCATATTCTTTTTTGTTAAAAGCAGGAGGAAAGTGTTATCTGAATCATCTCTTAGAAAGAGATGTGCTAGAGTTTAGCAGAACAGCTGTTTCAGTCATGTGAAAAAGGCAGCCACATGCAGTTCTGGTCCATCCTCCAGGCTCGAAGTGCAAGGATCAGCTGGCTCCAAGAGCTCCAGCATTGACTTCCCCGCCTGGGAAGCAGAGTCACAGCCAAATTGCACGTGACTGCTTTAAAAGCCTTCAGTGAAGGGGCATCTCAAGGCAAATGACATTTTCTGCTTTGTAAGTCTTCTGCAGCCATCTGTAGTGACAAATGCTGGCTTCATGACTAAACACAGAATTCAGCCTTGAACTGAGATTCTGAGACTACAGGATGTCCTCTGCTAAGTGCAGACCTTTTTTTCAGCTGTGAAATTGTTGTAGGGCAGGGCCATTCGCCTATGCGCAGACCTGGATGCATAGCTTTGTGCTCGCGGGCCAGGCAGTACAGGTTGATCCCATGCCATCTGCAGACTGCAGTGGGAGCAGTTGGTGGTTTCAGCATTGTGATCCTGTTCTGTGTTCCTTTTCTCCCTACAGGATGCTGATGTTTCTAATCAGATAATCCTTGTAGAGGACGTGCTGGCCAAGCTGTGTAAAACGGTGTATCCACTAGCAGATCTCTTAGCTAGGCCTCTACCGGAGGGAGTTGATCCACTGAAGCTTGAAATTTATCTTTCAGATGAGGACTTTGAGGTAAGGAGAGAATAGGTGCACTGTTACTCTGTGCACATGTGTCTAACTGTGCTGAGAAGTCATTTGACAGTTTTGCTACTTAGAAGTGTTTTTACTAATGGCATACCCTCTCATTTTAAATGCAGGTTGCATTAGAGATGACGAGAGAAGAGTACAACGCGCTGCCATCTTGGAAACAGGTTAATCTGAAGAAGGCAAAAGGACTTTTCTAAGTTGTGTTTATTGGAGTGAGCACTAAAGGGATGTCTGTTTTCACTTTCTATGCCCTTTAGAAGAATTGTACCCCACATTTACAGAATAAATAGAAATAATCTGAAGTTATTAGTGACTACCTATCTGGAGGTGTGTAATATTATAAAAGGCCAAGAGAACTCTTTGGAAATGGAATTCAGTTTTGACTCTTAAAGGTAAAGTGTTTAAGCTCTGCTCTCCTATGCACTTAAACAGTAGTTTCTTGAGCTACTGCTGCAGGTGTCCTTTGGCTATATACAATACTTGCCATTTTTGTTTTTGAAGAAGTTCTCTTTGTAAAGTGTTATTTTGTTAGTTTGTGGATTACAAAGAAATTATATTTATATAAACACATAGAACAAGTATGTATTTAACAATGCAATATATATTCACTTTCAAGACTTTCATGTCAAAACTACAGAAAAGTAGCTGGATGGCAGTTGCTTGTACTGAATTAGCTATACCACCAATATGTATCTCCTACGCATTCTGAAAAGTTTCTCTTTGCAATAGTTAATGAATTGTTCTCAGTGCTGCTTCAGGTGCTAAACTGAACAAAAAGCATTTGTATTTATAGCATGGATTTCTTGAGAAACTATGCGAATCAACCTTTATACTTTATTATCCAAAAATGTATAGTGCCTTGTTTTTTGTGTACAGTTTCTATACAAAAAAAGAAGATTGGTCTGCATTTTGAAGATGGCTTAGGATGGTCTCCTATGTTACTTTTATAATAGTAGAAATAAAAACATCTCAGTTTCTAATACTTGTTGTAAACATTAAACATGTCTTTTGTGATATAAGAACTGAAAGTAAAAGCTTCTGAATAAACTCTTAGCGATGCTCTGACTTGCCATTATTTTGTACTGTAATCTATACTAAGTCATTGGAACCTTCCATAACATGGTATTTTATCAAAATATTTTAACCTTAGATATCTGCGGGTGTTATACAGAGTTATAATTTGCAAAGCAGATAATGTAGAAAATAATCAATATACGAGATAAAATTAGGTTGTGCGACACTAATGCTGAATGTTAGAAGAGTCACACAACTCCTGTATCCCTTGGGTTGCCCTGTTTTATACACGAAACCAAATTTATTATGCTGGTTTTCAAACTTTGAAAAAAATCTTTTCAACCTATGTGCAAATGGGAGTAAAACTTGAACTGAAAATGAGTATGGCATCATGTCCGTTCTTTCAGTAAGGACCGGAGTCAAAATCTTTATTATTCAGCTAATCAGGACATTGAATAGAGTAATTGAGTAAACATTTGCTGTTGTTTGAAATGTTTTTCAGGCATTTGGCATTTCTGTTAACAACTTGTGTGGTTCCCCTCTGGTAGCCTAGTGGATTTCACGTTTTCATTCCCGCCATCCTAAGTTACCTTCTGCCGTGCAGCCCTTCAGAGCTTCTCCTGCCTAGGTAAAAGGTGATCACCTGCAGTCGTGCCTGTTGCTGCTCTTGTCGTTCTCCGAGGCCCAGGGAAATGATGTCAGATCTTCGAATGTGTGAGATGTAGATTTCATCAAGATCTGCAGTAAATATTGCTCCATAGTTAAAATTCGTCTTGTTTTGACAGATCAGTTAATAGGTTGTAGGCTAGCCTTTAAGTAAATAAACCAAAAGCCTAGAAATACATAAGTACTATTCACCTGACCCAAGATACTGCAGGTGAATCTTCAGCACTGGTGTATTTCCTTTCATTACTGGTTTTTGTCAAGAACTGAAGTGAAATAATCCAAGAAAAGGGTAGCAACAGTATTCAGAGCCAGGATACTTCTCACATAGCCTCCAGCAAAAAGATGTTTAGATGTCTGATGGTTCCTCAGAGGTCCTCAGCTATGTCTTCTGCGTGGGGGACGCTCTTAGCTTGTTTATTTTTCAAGCACTGAGAGGTTTCCAAAGTCACTGCTGTATTCATCTAAGTATTTTTGCACCCATATATTTTCCTCTTTCACCCTCTCTGGTGATAAAATCAAGCAGAAATTAAGTTTTGTTTATGCATGTTCAATCTGTACCTCGGGGGTAGCAGGTTCCTCTGTTTTGATTTTTCTCTCCAACAGAGAGCTGATTTGCATAGCATGATTGACCTTGTTTTTCCCTCTGGCAGGGTAATATCATTTGCTTTTGTTTTTTTGAAAACACTGTCAGTCCTCCAAGTGCTGCTGAAGGGCAACATCCACCCACCCTTAAAGCCTTTAGAATCTCAGCTAAAAGACAAGACAAGCTGGCACAGGGACCTGCAGGCAGTGAAACGTAATTCAGTGTTGTCAGCTCTCAGAGTTACTGTGATTTTTACACAATTTGATATCTTGTGTCTCAGTTCCAGGAACCGGGACGCAGAACCCAACTGCCTACTTAAGTGCTTTACTCCTAACATTGCCTAGGTAAACTTCAAGGTTTTGCAGGAAATAAAATATTTTTATTGTCCTTAATATACTTGTTATTTATCAAAATGCTTTCCTCAAATGTGAAGCTGACAAGAGAAAGCAAGTCAGTGTAAGACCTTAGACAGAACTGTGGGTTATGCTTTAATTTTCTGCTACCTTTGCACTGTGGGGATTCCATTTACGGTTGGAAATTGGAAAGGGCCATTAAAATCTTCTTGAACCATTTTTATAGCGCTGCATGGGAAATACAGCTGAAACAGGTTTTGCCTGGGTATGGGGAGGGAGGTTGTTTGCTTGCTTGGGTTTCTTCTAGTGGTGGTTGCTTGTTTCAGATAGACCCCCAAGAACGCAATGTCTTGCGTGAATTCAAAGGCAAAGTATCTGGTACGAGGACTCCATGTGAAAAAGGCAGTACCTCGAACATGGCATTCTGCATTTTCTGCCAGTCTCGCAGCTTCCAGGCCTTGAGCCATGGTTCTTATCTCCAGTGGTTTTAACGTGCTCAATCCTGACTCTTAAAAATATTGTTCTTTGATTGCACAAACATTCCTGCACACGTACGGATTTGTTAGCAGTGACATGGGCTGGAAACGTGAATACGTTAGTATGCCAAAACAGCAAATAAAACATTATGTCTGAAAAATCCGCAGCCCCTATGCTTCAGCCAGAAGAGAAGGGAAAATGGAAGGTAGGTAGGGGGAGAAAAGTAACCTTTAACAGTTTGGGGGAGCTTGTTTCTGTCCACCGACATCCTGCCAGTCTCCCGAACAGGTAATTAGCTGAGCAGGAGCTGCGGACCTGTGTGCACAAGTGGTGAAGGCTGATTCTGAGCTTGTCTGAAAGCCTGCGGTGCTGTCGTGGGAGGGGGCAGCGGCAGGCGCAGAGCCGCCTCCTGCGCAGCGGGGCTCTGAGGCTGGGGAGCCTGCGGCGGGAGATGCTTTGGCCGAGACCCCCTTCCTGGGAGCTGCTCCCCCTGGGCAGCGTGAAACCTGCTTGACTGGAGTGGCAGAAGGAATGATTTGACCAGTCTCTACTGCTAACTCGCAGTGTGAATTTCTCTTTTGGATCAAGAAGCAGATGAGGAGAAAAAGCTCAAATAATAATAACCTCCAAAGTGCCTGCTTTCCTCGTCCCCTTGCGTGGAAACTAAAGTAGGTTTGCAATAATAGGTCATTGCTGCCCAGAAGCAGCAGAAAGCATCCTGTACGCCCAAATCACCGCTCACACATGCGAGGCCCCTGTTCACCTGATGTGCTCTCCCAGTACGATGCTGGGAGCCGACAGCTGCCGCTGCAGGGGAATCCCTTTTGGGCACAGGGTGAGGACCGTGCTCAGCCGGTCAGTGCTGGCGTGGCTCTGGGGGCACACGGGGCTCCTGTGCTTCTCGCAGGGCAACAGCATGTGGTTGATCACACAAGCACGGGACCCTGCCGTGGGTAGATGAACACTTTTAACCTTCTTCCGGACACTGAACGTGTGAATTGATCTTTGATAGGGATGAAAGAGGTTGGGGCGCGGTGCTTGAAATGCCAGGTTGGTTCTCCCTCCTCTGGTCTCGTATTTATAGGCCCTGTAAGGTTAATGCTGATTCTATGTTGTTTTCCTGTGATTTGATCAGTGGAGTAAGATGAGCACCTGGAAGAACAGTTCGCGGTGAGTAACTCCTCTTTCTGCTGCTATCCTGGGGAGCAGTAGCTAAAACTGCCCGGAGAACAGCCTGGAGAGTCAGTGGTTTCCTGATTCATACTGGCTCTGTGGCGAAGTTTTGTTAAAACCTGTGACTGTGAGGTAGTGTTCTCACAGTGCTAGTTCTTCTCTATATAATCCAACTATCAACAATCCTGGTCCTACAAAAGTAATACAAAAAAACAGCTAAAATATTTTGATAATATTTTTCCCTCGCGTTAAGCCTTAGCATGTGAGCTGTACTGCTAGCTGTTCTTGCTAGCAGTATTTTTCTGGGCGCTGACTTCTGAACTTGGAGGTGAACAAGTGCAAAACCTCTGCACGGACAGAGGCATGGGCCAAGCGGTAAATAAGGCCAGTCCCAGCAAGAAAAGGACGAAGCAGCAGCTCTTCCCGCTGGCGGGCAGGAGGGCAATCCCAGGGACTGTGCTGGTCAGCCACTGCCCTGCCTGGGAGGGGACCAGCTGCTCGCATACGTGGTACCTGCCCACAGCGTGATACCTCTCCCCTTCAAAATCAGCGTCTCTCAGTTTAGCAAAGGTGCTGACTGCAAGGCATCCCCGCTTGCTCTGTGACTTGCAGGTGGTCTTAAACTCCCTTTTTGGCAGCCCCGGGACCTGCTCTATAATAGGAATATTTTGCATGGGATTTTCCAGTTTGGTTTTGTGATACTCAGGGGTAGATGAGGGGAGTGTGCAGCCAAGTGGCAGTATTTCCCCAGCCGTGCAGCTGGCAGCCCTGTCTGGTGGGGAGGGCAGCCTCCTCCCCCGTTCCTCCGCACTCTGGGGTGGCAGCTGGGACCGGGAGCCAGTCATGCAGGGACTGCTCCTGGAGCTGGAGAGCCGCTGAAGAAGCAACCCCAACCAGCCCATAAAGCTGCACGCTCTGGAGCTGAAACAAAGCAAATCTTTATGTCTGGCTTGTGCTTCTCCTGAAGTGCAGCATATTTCAGAGGAACGGTGAAAAAGAGGGAGCGCCATACACTGTGTGCACACCATCACCTTTCCTGCAGCTGGGCTAGTTTGCCTTTGGGTGTTCCTTGGGGGATTGGTGCAATGCGCCCAAGTGCCAAGGCAGCAGGCACGCGGGACCTGTAGCAGGGACTGCATCTTCACACTCCTTCGTGCCAAATCTTGCGCTCTCCATGAGGACGTGCAGCCCAAGGGGCAAAGACGGCCCCGTCCTGTTTCCACAGCCACAGTCACGAAGTAAGGGCAGCCCCAGGACTTGAGGGCCGCACGCAGTCCTGACGCACTGACAGAGCAGAAAGAACCAGTTGCTCTCTTGGCAAGACCGTAAAATGTTGCTTGTATAAACCTTTATAAATCACTCCTGCTCAGTGTTGCCCCTTACATTAGCGCAGGAATATATTTTCACAGCAAGTACCAGACTCTGGAAAAATTTTTTGCATCTTGTTGCTAAAAGATACAATATGTACGCAAGGGAAGCAGTCTTGTTTTCTGCTCTCTCAGCGCAATAAGCAACCGGGGCATTTGAAGAAAACTTTATCTTCTCAAATTGAAGGTAGAGTGGGCTGTAGGGATTCATGGTAAAAGCTCCTGAATGCATCTGAGGTCCCTGGCTCCGCCACGCACGTCTGCGCGCACACAGCCCAGGCCCTGTGCTGGCAAACCCTTGCAGTCATGCATTTCTATGCTTGTGACTGTACCAATCCAGCCAAGCTCAAAGGGGCCTTGAGGAGCTATCTATCCTGGCCGCCTACACCATGGCTGCAAACATTAGCTAAACCACCCGAAACTTCTG